TGATAACGCCAAAGCCTGTTGGCATGCGCCACTTTTGGCTTACCTCGCCGACCACATTTTACCCGGAAAGTCACGTCTGAGAGACGATCCACTATGTCATATGGGTCTTCCCATGGAGAAGACAACTTTGGGAGACTTCCCTTTGGTCTTCCTTGGATTATACAACCACACCTTGTCTCCTGGTACACAGATGACTTCAGTAGATTTCTTATCATAACATAGCTTCATGGAATCAGCAGACGTTTTCAAGTTTGAATGCACTTGATGGTGAATAACACTTTCTGGCACATTTTCAGGCAACTCTTTGTAAGGTGGACATCCTGTTATCAGGTCCACTGGCAACCGAACTGGCTACCAAACCTGGAGTAGAAATCACTAATGCCTCAGGCCACTTGGTGAAATAATCCATCACCACACAAATGTACCTGTTTCCAGCATGAGTTTGGGACAAAGGACCAGAAATGTCAATAGATACTCTTTTCATTGGTGCACATTCTTTATGCTTCGGTCCCCTTTTAGCACAACATGTATTGCAGGTCCTGCACCATTCTTCCACATCTTGTCTCATACCTATCCAGTAAAATCTCTGCCATACGTGACTCAATGTCTTTTTAACTCCGAGATGTCCTCCTGTTAAACTATCATGGAATTGATGCAGCACAACTTCCCGTAACTTTCTCGGTATAAATGTTTGCCAGGTCGTCACTTTCCCATCTGCAGTCTCCCATCTCCAGAAAACAATACCATCTTCAAGCTTCAACTGGTCCCATTGTGCCCAATAGTTCTTTGTCACAGGGCATAAGCTAGACACCTTCTCCCAAGCAGGGTGTAAAACACTTGCTTTTAAAAAATCAATTATTGGCTTCAAATCTTGGTCTTTCTCCTGCTGTGCTTTAATATCTACACCTGGTTCCACTTCACCATCATCAACTCCTTCAGTCACTTTGACTTCAGCTTGATGACACCTGGTTAGTTCAACCTCTTTTTTGCAGCAATGTCTGCAGTTATTTTTGCAGGGTTTTCGGCTCAGTCCATCGACATTTCTATGAGATTTTCCTTCTCTGTATTCAATATCATAATTATACTGGTCTATCTTTCCGATCCAACGTGCCAGTTGTCCCTCTGGGTTCTTTAATGATGTTAACCAGCGTAATGCAGCATGGTCTGTCCTGATGGTAAACTTGGCTCCATAGAGGTAAGGATGGAAATATGTCAGACTCTTTGCTATAGCAAGGAGTTCCCTCCATGTTACACAGTAGTTCCTCTCTGGTGTACTCAGGACCCTACTGAAGTAGGCCACCACATGTTCGTTTTCTCCCACTTTCTGAGACAACACTCCTCCAATTCCGACATTACTAGCATCACAATCCAGTATGAATGGCAGTGATGGATGTGGAAGTTTTAAAAGTGGAGCTGAGGCAAATTTTTCTTGCAATGATAGAATGCTGGCAAGAAACTGTCCATTCGAACTTCTGGCCTTTTTCGTCAAATCATGTAGTGGAGAAGTTATAGTTGCAAAGTCCTTCACTAACTTCCGGTAATAGGTACAGTGTCCCGAGAAACTTCTTAACCCTCCCACATTGTCAGGTGTTGGCCTATAACAAACTGCCTTCACCTTGTCAGGATCAGTTTGCACACCATGCTCACATACAATATGACCCAAACTAAAGCACCTCTTTCTGGAACAAGTGGCATTTCTTGGGATGGAGTTTGAGGTTTGCTGCTTTCAAATCCTGGAACATTTCCTTCAGCTGGGACATTTCCTCATCAAACGTTGTTGCAAACACAATAACATCATCCAGGTACACTAGGCCTATCCTCCATTGTAGGCCTTCTAGTATTCTTTCCATCAGCCTCTCAAATGTTGCTGGACCATTGCTAAGCCCGAATGGCATCA